TGCTGTAAGTGAGAGAACAGTATGCTGCAATGAACTGCTATTGCATGGAACCAATTTCCATTTGCTGCTTTGACATATTGTATTGTATCTCCCTTGGGATGAAATGAGATGGATAGATACCAACTATACCTGTAGTTTGGATATTATCTAAAATATTACAGAGATAGTTATAAAATATTCATATTTCTACATTGAGATCTCTTGTCCTTTTCTTTCCTTCATGTTCCCAGTAACCAAACTACTTATGAGGATGAAGCCCGATATACTAGTACATTATAATTGGGGGAAAAGATTAGTACAGCATAATGGAGAAATGGAGAACTTTTGGGGAAAGAAATACACTTTGAAAGGCTATTAACATAATTATTTCAGTCAGTTCCTGTCAAATATTTCAGAAGGTCAAAATCTCACCTTTTTTAAAAAAAAGAACACATTTTTAAATGAGGTGTGTCTCTCATAAAGTTTCATTAAACTGAAATATGTGGTAGGAAATCCATTAAACTTAACAGTGTTTCCTGATATGGAATTTTGTATTTTCTCATTGAATTAATCAAGCCACGGGGAATCTGCAGAAACGGGTCAAAAAAGAAAAGACCGAAATTATGATGACACAATTGAAGTTTCCAGACTGACCTTTTTGACCTTTACCTCTCCAGCTCCCAAGGATGTCTCAGAATGAAACCAGTGCTATTTTATCTTTGCCAGTTTCAGACCACTGTACAGGAGCAGTAGATGATGATAATATCCTAGCAAATGCTAGACCATTGGATGATCCCTGTGGATTGGTGATTGTCTTCAATTTATATTGATATTCCCTTGAATTCTTTCAGTCTCATCATGGTGACAACTTATAGAATTGTTGTGATCTAGGCCTAAGTAGTTATTACCAGGCACAATCAATCCTAAACAAACATATTTTATTAGAACAGCTGAGAATTACTTTATTCTTAGCTTAGTCCAAATTAATTCCAAAACAAATTCTTCATAAACAGTCCTTCGGCCTTATCACCAACCTTTATCTTCTTTGGCACCCTGCCAAAGGCTTTTTTTTTGGCAAAAGTTCAGAAGCAAGAGACGCTGACAAGAAAAAAAATGTAGCAACATTGCTTTCCTACAAAGATCCCAAGAGCCGTTGCTGTTCTTTTAAGCCTTCTGGGAGGGGCCAATCATCTTCTGGCCTTACTCCCAAGTCGTCCTTTTTGCTTTAGCTGCTCTTGCCTTCTGGCAGCTCTTTGCATGCATGCACTAGGAACAGGCTCCTCCTGCTCCTCTGCCCTCTGCTATCTGCCTCTGGAGGCTCTGGAGACTGCACATCGCTCCCAGATGGCCCTGGCCCCATCTCTGCCTCTGATGCAGAGCCCTCGTCAGGGCCTTCCCCTGACTCCAGGACTGGCCCATTGTCCTCCCCAGCCTCCTCACTGTCCAACTCTGCTGCCAGCTCCGCAGGCTGCTGGGAGACCACAACAAGAATGTCCGCTGGGAATTGAAACCCATCCATGGTCCTCTGTGTTTTTATTCCTTTCAGTATTTTGTGAGCTGCTTTAAAAGATCAATGAGTTTATCTTCTTGGCTTTGGGGAAAGTACAATAGGATGGATGTTGACTGTATCTTTTTCTTTTATATATTAAAAGGCAAGTATCGGCAGCATTCTTCACCAATGGGAATCATATATTACTCTCAAACAATATGTATCTTTTAGCATTACAGGTCCATGCTTTTTAAAAAGTAAGTTATAACTGTCTGGTGTCCTTCCAAGTACTGTAAAATATTGTACTATTATAGTGTAGTTGTGGTATGCTGTAGTGTAAATGTGGACTATTGCATTAGTCAGTGTCCAATTGATGAAGGGAAGCTATGAGTTATCCTCAGATTTTGGATGTAGAATTATTTCCAAGTTATAAAATAAACAGGCCCTTGTCATGTTACATTTTTACGTGTGTACTGCCTCATACACTGTATGAGCTTAATGTCAGTCTGAAGGATTTATGTATGGGGACAAATATACAGTATCTGTATCAACTTTTTCCAATCAGACCACATTATCTTTTGTGATGTTTTTCCCATTCACAGAGCTGGAGTAGGTGTGGCCTGCGTGTAATGCATCTGGCCCGCGGGCTGCCAGTTTGACACCCTGAATCAGACCATAAACTATGATCAATCACTGTGTCAGAATAGTTACATGCATCTATCCATTTGCATTCAGCTTCAGTTCAGATGGGCATTTCTTGTGTAATAAGGAAGATGAATTGCCAGCAGAAAAAGAAGCTATTTAAGTATGGGATTAGCCCTTGCTTTCTGGAGAATTCCCTCAAAGATACAGTCCCAGAAAACTAAGATATTTTTTTTTTCTTGAAGATTCATTGGGAATATTTTTCTACTACATGAAGCTAGGTTTCGGATTAGCATACAATTTACTGATTTCCATTTTTGTCATTTTGAAAAGAATTTTCTCATAAGACGTTGACAATGGCTTGAGAGACAATGCATTACTGAATTTCCAGCATCGGAAAGCATCAGAGATATTTTTCGAGACGACTCCTGTAGACACGGCATCCCAAAGGCATGTCTGTCTGAGAAGCCAAATGCCTGTAAGAGTTGCCAGTGGTCAAGTGCCTTTACCAGCACACAAAAGCCAGTCAGGCTCCTAAAGTTACCGTAATGTCCATAATCTTTTATTTATAAGTCTCAATTCACTTGTCACTTGCATCTTTCCCAAATGCAACAGTACAGCGAGAAATGGCAAAGACGTTGTAAATGTTTTATGCAGACTTGTGAGGAAGGCTGTATCTTCCATAAAATAAAAGATAATTTGATGAAGAATGCATCCTTGCTGACACTTAATATTTGCAATATACCATTTATGACATTATTTCCTGCAACACGGACCAGGCCTGCTGTTTTTTGTGCATTCTTTCTCAGCAGTTTGTTGTTTTATTTAAAAGGAGAAAATGGAACATGACAACTGATGATTTTCAGTGATCTGTAAAGATAATAAGGTAAAAGTAAAATAAATAATACATACATATATGCATGCATATACACTTCCTGGTTCCTATTATTCAGACAGATGAGAAAATTACCCCCAACCCTATCCACTTAATGTTTTCTTTTCTTCACAGCGCTTACTATGCCAAATCAAACCAAACCTATATCATTTTGTAACAAAATAAGCAAATACATATTTTCAACTTTTTAAAAATTTTTAAAAATCTAATTCATCAGTTCTAATTTATAGTACTGAACAGTACTGTAATATCTTATCTGTCTTCTATACAATTTTGTTCAATTTCTGTTCATAAATGTTTTTATTTTACATCATTGACATTTCTGGAAGGATGATTAAATTAAGCCGTTGCTGATTTCATTGATGAATGTTATATTTAGATCCATTCCTGTGTTATCATGTTATAATTTGGTTGTTTTAATGCTATAAAAATGTAATCAAATATATCAGTGTCAGATCTTGCCCACTTTAAAAATATTACCTGAAGAAACTCTTGGGAAGAAAAAAAAAAAGTCTAATCCCTCAACAAAACTCAGAAAGGATCAAATAAAATAATTTAAGCAAGGAGTTCTTATATGAAAGCCTATACCTCACATATATCTACTCAAAGTAATTTGGTAGAAGATGGGCAGCTCTGAAGAGGAGAGGAGAGAAGGGGAGGGGAGGGGAAGGGGAAGGGGAAGGGGAGGGAGTTAAAAACTGGGCAAAATAAAAAGGTTAAAATAATTATTGGTTCTATTTTAACTTTTGCCTCTAGCTAATACTCTTTTTTCCTAATATATTAAAAATAATTTCACTTGACATTCAGAGATAACAAAATGTATGTCTTTCCTTTGTCTTTCCTCCCATTCTGAAAACATAAAAGTCATTTGGCTTCAGTTTGATTCTCAGCAATGATTCACATAGTCTCCCTACTTGGTGCAATTCTATGCTATGGCTTAACTGAACTGTTTTCTCCATACTACTCATCGCTGTTTCTGAAACCAACTTCAGAAAATTCAGTCCAGATAGCTTGGTTATAGGGCTAGATGGTTCTCAATCCAGATTATGACCATTAGGAGACCTAAGAGCCGTAGTGGCACAGTGGTTAGAATGCAGTACTTTAAGTTACTTCTGCTGACTGCTGGCTTCCTGCAATTTGGCAGTTCGAATCTCACCAGGCTCAAGGTTGACTCAGCCTTCCATCCTTCCGAGTTTGGTAAAATAAGGACCCAGAGTGTTGGGGGGCAATATGCTGCCTCTGTAAACTGCTTAGAGAGGGCTGTAAAGCACTGTGAAGAACTATGTAAGTCTAAAGTGCTATTGCTATTGCTAATTCATCATTCTCCTATTTCTTTCCTTTCTGTTTCTTTAGAAAAGCCTAGCTTGGCTAGGTAGCTGTGATTTGGACTGGTTTAATCAGCTCTGCTTTTCTTTTCTTTTTTCTTTTAGGGATTGTTCTTCTAAATTAGTTCCTTTGCTTTTCATTTGCTTTCCCCAATATTTGTACACATGGGTGCCTTCACATTCCCTTCCCATGTGCCTCAGCCTCTCCTTAACTGCCACCTACTCCTCTTTCCACAGTTTAGTGTCTCATGGATTAATAGACTATTCATTTGATCTATAACTGAATTGCCTTTTCAGTAGGAAATATGAATCACTTTGGGTAAAAAAAAGTATATATTTCACTGAACAATTAAGGAACACGACCTAGATGCTTTCGAAGGCTCTTTTAAGTTGCAAAATCTTCTGCAGATTTTAAAGATGTAAGCCATCATTTGAAAAGGAACCTGGATAAGAAGCTAAGTAAAGAGTCATTCAATTATTCTGTATTGTCTTAATGAAATCAAAATAATGTGAATGGTTTTACGATGATCTCTGGGTATTTCAAAGGGAATTAGCATTGTTGCTTTCTTGCACCTAGCTTTGTAAAGATAAGAAAAGGAACGTGAATCACAGCTTCTCTCAGCTCGCTCAGCAACCCAGAGGACGGTAATAAGCCACGCTGCAGTCAATGTGCGTTGAAGCAGGGAAAAGGTTTATTCATCATCCATAGCTGCTGCGGACATTGCTGAGTTCAGATAACGATAACACAAAGTCGGCGTTGGGCATCACCGCAGCCCAACGCTGTTTAAATAAGCGCTCTAATCAGTTCATATTTCCGGGTTTTCGGCTCCACACATCACCCGTTCCGCCCCAGCAATCAGGAGCGTCAGTGTGCAGCAGCTACCGAGCAAACCCTATCGCGTCCGCAAGGTGACCGTCCGCATACTCGCTCTATCACCCCCCTCCACCATATATGTGTCCAGGAACGTATCAGTGCCAACCACCACCTCCCACGGCTCCCCTGTAGCGCTCCCGCAGGTGTATGGGTTTCTATCTTCAGATTGTCGAACGTGGGGTCTCAACAGGCAGCTCCCCCTACCAGGAGTCCACCTGTAAGATATAAAGTAAAGAGTTAATATGAAACCATTATGAGGCTGTCTGTATATCGTTCCCGGGTTTTTGAGGGTATTTTCTGTGGTATAGTCTACGCAACTTATCAGCCCAAAGGCTTTCAACTGGTACCCACGAGGCATCTTCCAAAGGGTAGCCTTTCCACCTCACTAAATACTTCAGCTTTCCTCTACTCAATTTGGAATCTAATATCTCAACTATTTTGTAATGAGCCCCCGCCAAAGGTCCTGGACGGTCTAACGGGTCACGTATGCTATCTACGGGCTTTAATAAGCTGCTGCGAAATACCGGATGGATTTTTCCTAGTAAAGGTGGTAGTTTTAATTCGACGGTTACCGGGTTTATTACTTTCGTAACAGTAAAGGGCCCGAGATATTTGGGCCCTAGTTTTTTACTGGGTATTTTCAATTTTATATATTTAGTAGATACGTAGACCTGATCTCCTATCTGAAATGGTTTGTGGTCCATTCTTTTTCTGTCGGCAAACGTTTTATATTCCTTTGCTGCTTTCTGTAACTTTGGCCACTGGACTCCGATCCGTACCCCCCACTCCCTGGGAGACACCTGTTCTTGCTCTCCTGGTTCTAGTTCAGGGATTGCAGTAAACTCTCAACCATAGACAACTTGGAACGGTGTGATGCCGGTACTCCGGTGGACCGCGTTGTTATATGCTACCTCAGCGAATGGTATGAGATCCGACCAGTCGGACTGTTGGTACGAGACATAACAACGTAGATATCTCTCTACCATAGCGTTGGTCCTTTCTGCAGCCCCATTGGTACTTGGGTGAAAAGCAGAACTTAACCCTTGAGATGAACCTATCAGCGTAACAAACTCGTGCCAGAACCGTGCTGTAAACTGTATGCCCCTATCTGATATAATCCACCGAGGTGCACCATGCAACCGATATACATGCCGAATGAACAATTGTGCTAATTTCTTTGCAGAAGGCAGGCCCCTACACAGAACGAAATGAGCCTGCTTAGAAAAAAGATCCACTACAGTCCATATAACTGTGTGGCCTTTACTCTCGGGCAGGTCTACAATAAAGTCCATCCCTATCTCCTCCCATGGTCTACTGTGATCAGCAACTGGCTGTAACAAACCAAGCGGCTTATCAGGTCTCGTCTTTGTTACTGCACATACTTTACAACTTTTCACATATTTCTCCACCTCTTTGCGCATCTGAGGCCACCAAAACTGTCGTCTAATGAGATGTAGTGTCTTCAGAAAACCGAAATGTCCAGCAGTTTTTGAATCATGACACCTGTCTAATACTGTTGCCCATAGAGACTGAGGTATGTACAATTTCGTCCCCATCCAAGCCAACCCATCGCACTGAGTCAACAGCATTCTATGTTCACCTATCCAAGGGTCACACTCCATTGCCTTTCGTAGCTCCATCTTCCATGTGAGCCTGGTTGTCCTATTGTGAGACCGGGCTACTTGTTGGGGTTTTGGGATTATTGCCTGCACTACGTCTTCTCTCTTACTGTTAAATTGAGGCATCCGAGATAACGCATCGGCCAGAAAATTCCTGCCACTAGGGACATACTTCAAATCAAAATTAAAATGCTGAAAGTACTGTGCCCAACGTACCTGTTTTGGTGACAGTTTCCTAGGGGTTTGAAGGGTTTCCAAGTTCTTATGGTCCGTCCAGACCTCGAACTTCTTATTAATACCTTCCAACAAATGCCGCCAAGTCATTAAAGCCCACTTAACTGCAAATGCCTCTTTCTCCCAAATAGCCCAACCCTGTTCTGTGGATGTCAACTTGCGTGATGTGTACGCACAAGGATATAGTTTGCCATCCTTAGCTCGCTGCAACAGCACAGCTCCAACGGCCACGTCACTAGCGTCTGCCTGCACAACAAACTCCAATGAGGGATCTGGGTGTTTCAGTACGGGTTCTCGGGCAAACAAGTCCTTCAGCTGCTCAAAGGAATGTTGACATTCTAAGCTCCATGGTAACAACTGTCCCGGTTTCACCTTGCCACCGACAATATGTTTTGTTTTTAATAAGTCAGTTAATGGGACGGCTACCTGTGCAAACGACGGGATAAACTGCCGATAAAAATTGGCAAAACCAAGGAAACTCTGTAATTGCCTTCTAGTTTTGGGCGCCTGCCACTCTAATACCGTCGACACCTTTTTCGGATCCATCTCCACCCCATGTGCTGAAATGCGATACCCAAGATAGTCTAACATTGTGCGATGGAACTCGCACTTCAACAGCTTCACAAATAGCTTTGCATCTAGCAATTTGGTCAGGACCTGTATCACCAGCTGAATATGTTCCTCTATTGTCTCAGAATATATTAAGATATCGTCCGAATACACAAGGACGCCCCGGTATAGGTGTTCATGTAATACCTCATTAATGACCTGCATGAACACGGCCGGGGCGCCCTGTAACCTGAATGGCATTACACGGAATTTAAAACTTCCCAATGGGCAATTGAAGGTAGTTTTCCACTCATCTCCCGGCCGTATCCTTACTCTATAATAAGCCTCTCGCAAATCAAGCTTCGTGAATACCTTCCCTGTTGACAATGTAGCTAACAGGTCCTTCATCAACGGCAAAGGGTAAAGGTGCTCGACACAAACAACATTTAAGTCTCTGAAATCGACGCATAGACGTAAGCCTCCATCTTTCTTTTCTGGTCCGTTTCGCGGGAAGCCTCACCTAGTGAGGAAATCCGGGGATCCAAACGATGTTGTTCCGTTGCCCTACCTCTGCTTCCCCCTTTCTCCACATGCAATTTAGGACTTGCCAAATGAAAACAGGGTTCAGGACCACTCCCTCCTCCCTGCCATGAGTTAACTGCCTCCGCCCCTATCCAGGGTTGCCAAGATGCTGCATATCGAAAGCTAGCGTCCCCAAACTTTTCTCTTAAAACGTCCAGAGTAGATGCTCCAAGACCGGTGGAATAACTCCAGTTGTATTCATCATCATCAAGCCACTTCCTCTCCCTCCAGCCATGGAAAGAGGTTACCCCCTGATAACCCCCAGGGGTTGGGGTTTTGTGAGTACCGGAACCAACAAGAGCGGAGCTCTGCCACCACTCCCCTGACGATCTCTTCGTCCTCCGCAGCTCAATGGAGTCCTGGCTTTCAACGATACCCTCCGCTTGCTGGGGTTTCCTTTCCTTTGTTCTAACCACCGGAGGATCTTCGGAGCTGTGTGCCTCCAACGTCTCCAGCACGGTGGTGTCCTCCTCCTCCCCTTCGGGACTCGCCGATGCAGCCATCGCGCCCTCCACCATCCCCTCTTGCTCGGCGGTACTCACGGTGGCAAAGGAAAACGCCAACTTTCTCTCAGCTCGCTCAGCAACCCAGAGGACGGTAATAAGCCACGCTGCAGTCAATGTGCGTTGAAGCAGGGAAAGGGTTAATTCATCATCCATAACTGCTGCGGATATTGCTGAGTTCAGGTAATGATAACACAAGGTCAGCGTTGGGCATCACCGGAGCCCAACGCTGTTTAAATAAGCGCTCTAATCAGTTCATATTTCCGGGTTTTCGGCTCCACCCATCACCCATTCCGCCCCAGCAATCAGGAGCGTCAGCGTGCAGCAGCTACCGAGAAAACCCTATCGCGTCCGCAAGGTGACCGTCCGCATACTCGCTCTATCACCCCCCTCCACCATATACGTGTCCAGGAACGTATTAGTGCCAACCACCACCTCCCACGGCTCCCCTGTAGCGCTCCCACAGGTGTATGGGCTTCTATCTTCAGATTGTCGAGCGTGGAGTCTCGACAGCTTCCTTCATCTTGTCCTTGGAAGATAAAATGAAATATTCCTGTGCAAGTTTTAAAGTTTCTTGAATTCAAACTTTTTTTCTCCCTGAGAAATAGAGAAATCCACCTTCATTGCAGAGCATGAATTCTATTTCTGTGCATTTGCTCTCATGATTTTTGTTTCTGAAGTTAGGAGGCATCATTAGGGACACTTTGGCTTTCTTCTTTTTTAAAAAAAAGTCAATACGTGGGGACAATATCAATAAATTAGGCCTGATTTGGTAAAAGTAGGTTGGAAGACGTATTATTTCTCAAAGCCTTTTGATGTTAGAATTGGACTCAGGCAATGAAATTAAAGCTAAGCATTTCCAAATAAAATAAAACAAAACATCACTTGCCTATGGGATCCAGTCAAGTAATGACATGGCAGTGCAAAGGCTGCCATCTCCATCCCAGTGCCTTTAAGAAGCTTTGGGCTGTGACTCTGTGGATTTCCTGCTAGCAGAGCTGATGGCAGTTCTAGGAACTTTAATCCCATCTAGATTTAAAGGGCAGCAGAACTATAGTCTGAACTATGGCTTGAACTATATCAACACTGAACTACAGTCTGATTAAATCAGGAACTAATGAGTTCAGACTCGCCCATGAGAGAAAGACGGGGCACTAGAAGCCTGAACACATGACCTGCTTAAAATGGCACTGGTAAATATCACTGCTAGCAATATCTGCTCTCTTGAAGTCAAAATTCCCAGTTTTGAAAGGAATTAGGCTCATCTGTGAAGGAAAAGGCTATCTATGTTTACTAATGAGGTTTGTTTCTGTAAGTTCCCAAATACTAACAAACCTGTACACATCTTCCTTGGTGCTTCTTGCTGAAGTTGGTTTGTTTTATATAACCTTTTAACTTAAAAAAAGAAAGAAAGAAAGAAACTGGCAGGGATGAAGAGTGAAACTCCAGATTCATGCAAGTATCTTCCAACAGACTTTGGATCTATGTTTGTTCTGTATGTTTCCCACTCATAATGTGTAAACGAATACATATGAGTCCTGCTCTGTTTCATTATCTGGAGGGTAGTCAATGCAATCCATAAAATTTACTTTCATTATTGTAGGATTGGAGTCTTAAAGTAAGTTACAGCTCCACCCATTGTTAGTTCTGGCTCTTTCCCTATCAGTAGTCTCCGGCTGAGTTTTCCAATAGGTCTGCTTTTTTTCCTATAGTTCTGCAGAGGAAAAATAAATTCCCCAATCTTCCATAAAGCATGAAAAGGCTGATAAATAACCTATTCATCATTTCAGTGATGTGATTTTCTTCCCCCTTTACTATTTTACTTCTCTATTGAACAATTTGAAGATTCTACTTCTCCTTCTTCATGTCCAAGGAAATAACATCTTTTAGATTTTTTTTTAGGAAACAGCTACCATATTTTTGTAAAAAATAAAACAAAATCAACATCAGTGAAAGTGCTAGTTCTTTATTATTCAACATTGTAGACATTTGTGGTTTAATGCATTTTCACCTTGAATTGGCCTTTAGATTTAAAACATGAAAGTAAAGCATGACACACTTTTTCGATCTATATTTTCTCTAAATTATTCTTACACGAGAGAAAGAGGGAGGGAGGGAGAGAGGGAGAGAGAGAGAGAACATTAGTATCTTCCTATTGTTAATGCTGAACCATTGTTTGTAATTTACCATATTTTTGTAAACAGTACCATATTTTTGTAAAAAAAAAAATCAACATCTGGTCTTGAATATTTTCTCAAAATTGTTCTTACATGAGAAAAAGAGAGAGGGATAGAGGGAGGGAGGGAGAGAGAGGGAGAGAGAGAGAGAGAGAGAGAGAATATTAGTATCTTCCTATTGTTAATATAAGCTGAGCCATTGTTTGCCCACAAGAATCAGGATGCATGGAACAAAAATCCTTCAAGTTCACTAGCTCAGTTGGCAAGAGAAGAAAATCAAAAGGCTACCTGATGCCAGCATTTGAAGATATGCTTCCTTCAAACACCATCCATAGCAGCCGGCCTTAATCCAACTCCCTGCTGTTACCTTTCATATCCCGTGGTTGAACGTTGGATGCATGTTTTGAGATAAAGTCTTCTGTTGACTTATGAACTGCCTGCCTTTCAGTTTAATCTGGGTTTGAGATTTGCCGCCCACACAAGCAGTCAAGAGCTTGACAAACTCAAAGAAAAGCAGGAGTGATCCTACCCAGCATGGAACCCATCCACTTTGTTTGCGAATCGGGGTCGCTTTCCAACTGCTTTTTTATTTCTTGAAATGGTCAGAAGGAGAGCCAAATGAAGCCCCTTTGAACATTCTTGATGCTTCTCTGACTTTTGTTACTGAAGCATAGCTAATCTGTCAAACAGATGCTTTTTCATTTCAATCTCAGAAGCCCAGTGACAGATATGCCAGGTTACTGAACATTTGAAAGAGACAGCATTTCTTGAAAATGAATAAGGGGTGGAATCAGTGAAATAAAAATGTTAATTTCATTCATGTTTTGAAGCCTGCATTGAAAAATCAATCATGAATTTCAAACTTCAGTACAGCACTATCTAACTATATTCATCTCTTCTTTTGCCTTAGCTTTTTCTCTGTTGGATGGTGCACCATTTTTCACAAAGGCATAAAGATCTTACTCTTGTGTTGTTGAAGTTAGACAGAAGTTCCAGAAATTATCAGCTCATTAATATTTTAATATTAATATAAAAAAGCATATTAACATTAGTAGGATATTTTGCCACACTCCCAGGGGCCCAGATTAGGACTGGGCAAATGCACTAATAAAATCAATAGGTTAAGAGAGTTTTGCAGAGCTCATTCTTTGTTCACTGATAGCATCTACTTTGGGCAACAGGACCACAGATTCCCACAGACAAAAATATTTGTAGCCCAGGATTGAACATGAACACAGATCTCATACTTGGTGATCAGAAAAAACCAAAGGATA